ATGTCCGGACAGTGGGTCTAGCGGCGGCGTGAGGTAAACCTCTTAGTTTTCTTTTTTAGATCTAAGCATGTGGGGGCATTTTTAGGCTGAGAGAAGGGATATTTAAGGAGTTGAGAGTGAGGGGAAGCTTTCGGGACCGTTTGGTCCCTTCGGCCACCGTGAGTATTCATGGGCTCCGTCATGAGTCGTCATGTCTGTCGCCGATAGGGGAAACTCTTTCACTCTAGTGAAGGATTTTGAGAGAGTTCCGAAACTCTCTCTCTCCTTTGTTTTCTGAAATAGAGAAATGAGGGCAAGATAGGAAAAATGCCTTGGTTAGGGCATTTATACATGACACGAATCAGTGCCGTTTTGGGCTCCCATTCTCCACGTTTTTGAGATTTTAGGGGGAAATAGCTTGTTTAGTCCCCCTGTTGTGTAACCCCAACATTTTTTTTATTTTCTAAGGGTAAAATTACATTTTATGTCCCTGTTCTTTGTAATATCATATTGTAGCCATTTAATGAAGTTTCATTTATTTGATTTCGGACACTAATGTTTCCTTATTTATATTTTAGTCATGTTCTTAATTATTTTGCTATTATTTTCATTGTTTAACTTTGGTCACTTTAGTTATAAATATTTCATTTTAGTCACTGTTTTATATTTGGTTTATTTATGATTCGGCTTCATGTTTTTGTTTATTGTAGTTTAGTCCTAAATATTATTTATGGGTTATTTTCTATTTCTTGTGCATGTAATGTTTAATATTTGCTATCTTGGCTCTAGTTTATTTGTAATTACTATTTTAGTCCTTTTAGTTGATATTTTACTATTTAACCCTTTAAGATTCTATTTTTACTATTTTAGTCCTTTAAATATCTGCAACATGATCTTGAGTCTTCACAAACTTGAGCTCCACTTCCTTCTTGGCAATTTGTTCTCTGATAAAATGATATCTGGTGTCAATATGTTTGCTTCGATCATGGAACACTGGATTCTTTGCAAGTGCTTGTGTAGACTCGTTATCAATACAAATTTTAGTAGGTCATTCTTGTGGTAAGTGAAGTTCTTTCACTAATCTTTTAAACCAAATAAAATGACAAGAACAAGAAGTTGCATCCAAATATTCTATTTCACATGTAGAAAGAGTCACAATGGGTTGTTTTTCGAACTCCAATAGATGCAAAAATCTCCCAAGAAGAACAAAAATCCAGAGGTGTTTTTTCTATCATCAATATCTCCTGCAAAATCACTATCACAAAATCCCATGAGTTAAAAGTCATGAGAAGATGTGTAAAATAACCCAAAATCAATAGAACCTTTTAGATAGTGAAGAATTCTTTTAGCGACCTTCAAGTGAGTTGACGTAGGAACTTCCATGTAGAGACTCACTACACCAACTGCAAATAGGATATCTGGTCTTGTACAAGTCAAGTACCTCAAACTTCCCACAAGACTTTTAAAAATAGCTAGATCTTCCTTTGCTCCATCATCGAACTTTGACAACTTTACTATATACTCCATCGGGGTATCAACAAAATTAGAATCAAACATTTTGAATTTCTTCAGTACTTGTTTTGTATGACTCTTTTGCGATCTGAATATACCATTCTCTTATTGTTCCACTTCTAGGCCCAAATAATAATACATTAGACCCACATCAGTCATCTCGAACCCAAACGACATACGTTTATTGAATTCTTCAATTAACTTGGGATTATTACTTGTAAAGACCAAATCATCCATGTAAAGGCAAATTATCAAAATGTCTCCACCATCGTTTGTTTTAATATAGAGTGCATGTTCATAAAGACAACGATCAAAACCATTTTCTTGAAAATACTTGTCGATGTGACTTTACCATGGACAAGGTTCTTGTTTCAACCCATATAATGCATTTTTTCAGTTTTTGACATTTATCTTCTTGTCCTTTGACTTTGTATCTAGTGAGTTGCTCAATATAAACTTCCTCTTTTAAGAAACCATTAAGAAATGTTGATTTCACATCAGGTTGATGAATTTTCCACTTCTTTTGAGCCGTTAGGGAGATAATCAACCGAATGTTTTTAATTCAAGCAACTGGTGTAAAGAATTCATCATAATCGACCCTATGCTTTTTCTTATAACCTTTAACAACAAGTATTTCTTTGTATCTCACCACTTCTCCACTCGCATTCTTCTTTTTCTTGAAAATCCACTTAACTCTGATAGCTTTATGATCTTTTGGAAGTTCGGATAACTCCCAAGTATTGTTCTTCTCAATAGATTTTATTTCTTCATCCATTGCTAACAACATCTTCAAAATTAAGTGGCTCAATATCTACCATTAGGCAAAACAAGTCATTAATATCTTCAGTGGAGTGATACAAATCCAACTTGCTTGTTCATCAAACTCAACGTCGCGACTGATAAGAATTCTTCTGTTGGTTGGATTATACAACTTGTAGCCTTTTGAGTTTAAGTCATAACCAATAAAAACATATTTAGAACTTCGATCGTCAAGTTTGGATCTACCTTGGTCGGGTGCATGTGCATAGGCAATGCTTTCAAACACTTGAAAATGTCTCACACTTGGCTTTATTCCGTTCCAATCTTCTTGAGGAGTTAAATTATCCACTTTCTTTATTGGCGAATATTTAGACAAATGAACTGTACATGAAACAACTTCAGCCCAAAACTCTTTAGGCATATTCTTTGCCTTCTACTCCTGGCTTTGTTAAGAATGGTTTTATTTTCCTTTCTGCAACTTCATTTTGTTGTGACGATTTGGGCATCGTCAAAGGACAATGGATTCCATATATTTTGTAAAAGTCATTGAATTCATTAAAAGGAAATTCGCCTCCTCTTTTGGACCTTATGGATTTTATCTCATAACCACTTTCCTTTTCAACAAGAGCTTTAAAGCTTTTAAAAACACCAAATGCCTCAGATTTATGCTTCAAGAAGTAAACCCAAGTCTTTCTACTGTAATCATCAATGAAGAGTAATAAGTATCTACTTTTTCCGATTGATGGCGGAGTAATTGGTCCACATACATTGGTATGAACAAGTTGAAGAGGCTCAGTTGCTCTTAATGTTGCTTCTTTTGGGAAACGTGTCCTTACATACTTGCCTAGGAGACACGCCTCACATAATTGGTTAAGGTAACTAGTGATCGGAATTACATTTACCATCTTTTCTCCAAGCATTTTGAGAGCTCCAAAATTCAAGTGACCAAATCTCATGTGCCAACACCATGCATCATCTTCAAGCACTTTGCATCAATCGTCTTGAGATTCAATAAAAACATTCTATTCTTCGACATTGATACTTTAGCAACCAAATTCGCATATTGATCTCTTATCCAAAGACAACGATTTTTCATCTGAACTTCATAACCTCTTTCAAGAAGTTGTCCCAAACTCAAAATATTACTTTTTAACTTAGGCACGTAATAAACATCAGTAATAAGGCTATGGTTGTCATCCTTTAGAGAGATTAAAATAGTGCATTTCCCTTGAATTTGGATCTTCGAGGAGCCTCCAAATGAAACATTACCTTTAAATTTCTCATCAAATTCCACAAAAACCTCTTTTTCTCTGCATAAATGATTACTTGCTCCATTGTCAAGATATAATGTATTTACATAATTGTTCTCTTCCTTCTTGATTGCTAGCAATAAGGTTGGCACTTCAACATCTTGTTGATTTTCAATGAGATTGACTCTCTCTTCATTTTTACTTTCATTTTGGCATTCCCAAGAAAAATAACCAAATTTATGACAATTATAAAATTAATATTGTACTTGTCATACCTCATTTCATTTGATCTTTGATTATGAAATCTTCCTCTTTACCTTGATCTTCCTTGATTTCTTGATGATGAACTTACATCATTGGTTGTACGATCTTCACGAGCACTTTTTCCATATCTTTGTTGGCCAAAACTTAGACCCCTCGTCCACATCCTCAACCCTTTTGATTCTTTTTTCTCAGATGTTTTTCAAAGACATCTTGGCTTTGAGGATTTGTTCAATGGACTCATCTTGCCTCCTATTGAATTTGTCTTCCTGGGCTTGCAACTCACCCATAACTTGTTCAATAGTCATAGAGTCTAAATTCTTTGATTCAATAAGACAACCCACATAATCAAATTTTGAAGTCAAAAAATGAAGGATCTTTTCAATCACTCTTGAGTAATTATCTGAAATTGACTTGGATTCCTTCATCCAAAAGGTTTCAAACTCACATCACAACACTTAGAGTCAAACTTTCTTCACTTTATCAACTCGAGAATTTTGTAAAATCTCCCATGTTTCCTTTGCGGTATTGGCATTTGTTACTTTTACAAACATCGAATCATCCAGACATTGGTGGATGAGAGTAAGAGCTTGTTGATCCTTCTTTCTTGTCTTCATCAAAGCCTCCTTGTCTTATTGTGATAATGAAGCCTCGTCTTAGGGAGATTCATAACCATTGTTTGTGATCTCCCAAGCATCTTGTGCCCCGAGCAAAGCCTTCATATGGAGACACCAATTCTCATAATTATCTTTTGTAAGACGAGGGAATTAAAATGGAAACATATCATTGGTGGTCAGTTTCACTTATTATCAAACCTAGCTCTGAATACTAGTTGTTGGGATATGGAAGTATGAAACTTAAACTTGTAGAGAGGAAGACGAAAATATAAGAATAAACTTAAGAATTGAATTGATTTGCTTTGTCACTTATGAACCTTTATATAGGATTGTAAGTGATTATTAGAATGATTACAAAACTATTGATAACACATTTTCATCATACATAATCATGTCTATTCACCATGAATAGTCATATTCATTCATAATGAATAGTTACACAATATCATTATAATAAACCAATAAAAAGACATAATTATTTATAGAAATGTTTAAATTAAATATTCAACACTCTGTATTTGTTGAAAACATCTAAAGATTGAATAAAATTGATAAGCTACAAAGCTAAAGTTGGGGCTTTTCTCTTTATTATCATTCAAAATGATACATAAATCCATCCTTTTTATTTGTATGTTTGCCACAGTATGAGAACAAACATGATAACAACATAAATTTGAGCAGCGATAACCCAAGGCTTAGTGCAAAAATTGTGCACATAGTATGCTCGCCATCGAGGCCACCACCATTTGCAGTGATGATCGAGTTTGTCACTAAGTTCAAAATAGTAGAATTCATTGGCATAAGTATCATTGTAAAGATTACTGAAAAACTGGGTTGAGTCATCCAAACTTAACCAGTTATCGAAGATTTTACTCTTACATAGTATCTCCATGTCATTGTTGGTGTCGATAAGGTTATCCAGGAGCTTGGCATAGCAAGTAAATATCGGTGAAAAATGTGGCAAGCATTGCTCATATATGATTAGATTCCATAATATCATTTGTGTCATCTCCTGGATAAGCAATGACGGGATTTCGAGACAACCATCTATAAATTTTATGTCCAAGATGCTATCTGGTGCAACTTTCTTGAATTTTACTCCTACTTCTTTGAGCTTACTGATGGAATGAATCGGTTGCCATCCAGCCGTCAGTTTGTTTTTGGTTTCGTGGGATGGTAACACCAAGGATAATCTTAACAAATCAAGAATGTGTTTGATATCTTGGTCTTTGAAACAGGATGATTTTATAGAAAGTGGATGAGAAATGAAGGTATTAGCAAAGAACGTAAGGGCAAGTTCAATCAAGGACTTGGACTCATAAGGAAGCCTGGTCTTTTCAAACAAGATTTCAAGCACTAACCAAGGGATTTGATTCTCTAGCAAAATCAAGTCATGTTGCAGATATTGTAACATACATGACATGGTTAAAATCGGATCACTGTGCTCTTTCACCTCTTCAGCGTCTCTACGAAACAACTCAATAACGAAGACACCATCGAGCAGCATTGTTTTAACAAATTCACCACCCAGTTCTGTTGCAACGTCATGGCCTGCATAACAAGCACTGGCCTGTTTCTCAATTGACTTAACGACATTAATCAAATCAGATAAAACTTTCTGTTTTTCAACCTCTTTGGATTCTCGGGACATCGTCACGTGACGACCAATAATCACCCTAGAAAGACAAGCTTTCAAGTACTTGATTTTGATTCTCTCTGTGGCTACCAAGTTCTCTTTGCCGTGATGCATCGGGCCAATGGCGAAACAGTTGGGGAGAAATGAGTTTTGGTTGTGCCTAAGGAGTTTTCTTGGGATGTTGAAGATGCAATAGCTCTGGGGCATGGATAAACAAGCATCCCTCAATTCAATATTCAGAGAAGATACCAATGATCCAACATTGATCACAATGTTTTCATTCGATCTTCCACTTTCTGCTCGGAATAAATTACCAACGAAAATATTCAAAACCTTATTGAACAAAGTTGAAAAAGACAATCACTTGTAGCTATCATGATTTGTGGGGTAGCCATTAATTTATACATGTTAAAACAACCAAGTTCATATTTCTAACAGATGGGGCAGAATGTGTGAGTATGTTGGAAAAGAATTTACAGATAGTTAAAGCATGTCCCATGTCATGCTTCTATCCATGTGCTCATGTGACACAGAGAATAAAGCACATATTACAGTATGACAAAGTTATAAGAAAATTGTAGGTTATGCGATAAGATAAGGATAATTAATTAGTATTTTAATATAACACTAACTTTTAGAAAGTTAGATAGATAAGGATAACTACTAAGTAGTTTAGTTTAAATTAAATACTTGTTCTCACCTACTGTATATATTTACTAAACTTGTAACATGTTTTACATGAATATACGACAGTGAAGTTTTTCACTTTTCCATACCTTTGTCATTTAATTTATTTAATCACATAATTCATTTTACTTCACTTTACATTAGTCCTATTTTCAACATGGTATCAGTTAGGTGACCGATCCTTCACCTAAATCTAGTCGATTTTTTTCTTTTTTTACCCTAAATATAGTCATCGATCATGAATTCTACAACTTCTTCATCGGAGATCACTTCAGAATTCCTCATTAATTCGTCGCATTCAAAGAAGGGGAGACCTTGAGTTGTAGCAGTTTTTAGTCATATAATTCCTAATCAGTACCTGCATGTAGAATTCCTTATGCTACTTTGGCTAATATATTCACCACTCCTTCTTGGATTGTGGATTGCGGATTCTGGTGCAAGTGATCATATAACAGGTGATCTTCGGCTCTTTCACACTTTTCATGCCAACTCGTCTATCTCTCATATTCGAACAACTGATGATTCTCTATATAGTGTTGCCGGTTATGGATCTATTCGAATAAATCGAGACATTTTGTTATCTCATGTTCTTTATGTTCCCAATCTCACTTGCAATCTTATCTCCATTAGCAAGTTGTCTGCCGATTTATGTTGTACAATGAAATTTAACTCTGATTTTTGTGAATTTCAGGATTCCAGCTTGGGGAAAGTGATTGGCAGTGCTAGGCTTTGTGGGGTCTTTACCTACTTTCAGCAACTTTATTTTCCCACCCATCTCCTTCCTTCAATATTATACAATAATTTCCTTTACTTGAACCTTCAACTGATGTTATGTTATTGCATTTTCGTTTAGGACATCCCAATTTCTTTTATCTTGTAAAATTGGTTCCACATTTATTTGTCAATAAAAGTCTGAAATCCTTTTCTTGTGATATTTGTCCACTTTCTAAACAAACTAAGAGTCTTTATCTACCTTCTCCATATAAACCGTCCAAACCATTTACCATGATCCATAGTGATATTTGGGGACCATCTCGAGTCGCATCTTTACATGGATTCCGGTGGTTTATTTCATCTATTGATGATCACACTCGTACTACCTGGACCTTTCTCATGAAAACCAAATCTGAAGCTTGTGAAATATTTAAATGGTTCCATAAGATTGAAACCCAATTTCAGTGTTCAATCCAAATTTTTCATTCTGACAATGGTAGTGAGTATTTTGCCAATGTTTTGGGTTCTTTCTTTCAGGAAACCAAGATTGTTCATCTTACTTCGTGTGTCAATTCTCCTCAACAAAATGGGATTACTGAGCGAAAAAACATGCATCTTCTTGAGGTTACTCGGTCTCTACTTTTTCCACAAATGTTCCTAACTATTTTGGGGGAAATCCCTTTTAACTACCACTTATTTGATTAAATGTCTCCTTAGTAAACCATTACAATTTAATTGTCCGAGAGATTTTTTTCTTCAGTTTTTTTCCCAATTTTAAACCGATGACTTCATTGTTACCCTTTAGAGTTTTTAGTTGTACTGTGTTCGTTCATAACAATGTTCTTTTCATGTCCAAATTAGATCCTCGAGCATTTCGGTGTGTGTTTCTGGGTTAATCATCGACTCAAAATGGCTTTCGGTGTTATTATCCTCGTACAAAGAAATTCTTTATTACTATGGACGTTACTTTCTTTGAAAAAAACACATTTTTTCCTTAAAACTGCTATTCAGGGGGAGTCCTATAATGAATATCAGTTTGTTTACTCACAACAATTGTCACTTGTTTTGGAACCAACTCTTTTTGATCAACCATGACCGTCAAACCAGTTAAACCAGTCGAATAAGCCTACAAAATCGCCAGACTAAACAACACTATCGAACCCAGAAAACGTATCCTTACCAAACCAGTCCACTGAAACACATACACATTTACCTTAATCTGATCAGCATATCACTTCACCTCAAATACCTCAATCCGAGTTGCAGATTTATAAGAGACGATAAAAACCAATTTCTAAATCAATCCCTGAACCTAATCTCGAGTCTCCCATACAGCATGGACATTGTCATGAACCGAAATCGAACGAGAATCCTTTGGAGAATGAAGAAGGTAATCAGAATTCTTTCACTGAATTAAATATTTTAATTAATGATAATGACTTGCCGATTGCTCAAAAGAAATGAGTAAGAAAATGCAGAAATTATCCAATTGAGAAATTTGTTGCATATGGAAAGCTAACGCCTTGTTTTAAGAACTTTACAGCAAGTATAGATAGCATTACTATTCCAGATACAGTGAAAGAAGCATTGAAAGATCCCAAGTGGAAAAAGGCAGTATAAGAGGAATTAGAAGCACTGGAAAACAACAATACTTGGATTATAGTTGATCTTCCTAAAGATAAAAAACCAGTCGGCTGCAAATGGGTATTCACGGTAAAATACAAAGCTGATGGTAGCATTGAAAGATATAAGGCGAGATTAGTGGCGAAAGGATTCACTCAATATTTTGGAGTTGATTATCATGAAACGTTTGCTCTGGTAGAAAAACTAAACACTGTGAGAGTGTTACTGTCATTAGCAGTTAATGAGAATTGGGTGCTTCATCAGTTAGACGTCAAAAACACATTTTTAAAAGGAAACTTGGAGGAGGAAGTATATATGCGAATTCCATCGGGTGTGAAGAGTAATACAAGAAAAGCATGTAGATTATTAAAGTCCTTGTATGGACTTAAGCAATCTCCAAGAGCCTGGCTTGACAGATTTACAAAGGTGATTATTCAGGATGGTTACAAGCAATGTCAGTCAGATCACACTTTATTAGTCAAAAAAGTTTCAAACAACAAAAAGGCAATTTGATTGTCTATATGGATGATATCATTCTAAAAGGTGATGATTGCATGGAGATAGAATGATTGAAAAAACTACTGGTGAAGGAGTTCGAAACCAAAGACTTGGGAACTTTACGGTATTTTTTAGGCATGGAGGTTGCAAGGTCAAAAGAAGGAATAGTGATCAATCAAAGGAAATATATCCTTGATATACTATTAGAAACTGGAATGAAGGGATGTAAGCCGACATAAACACCCATGGAAGCAAATCTTAAGCTATGGAGAGAAGAATTGGGAAGTCTTGTGAACAAAGAACAGTATCAAAGGCTAGTAGGTAAACTAATTTATTTATCACTTATTAGACATGATATTGTGTTCCCTGTCAATAGAGTGAGTCAATATATGAATGATCCAAGAGAAGAAAATTTAGAGGCTATAATAGAATTCTAAGATACTTGAAAATGACACCAAGACATGGGTTAATTTTTAGAAAAAGTGATGATAGAACATTAAGAATTTTTTTGGATTCAAGTTGGGCAGGAGAATTAAAGGATAGAAGATCTACAATTGGTTATTGTTCATTTGTTTGGGGAAATCTGGTTACTTAGAGAAGTAAAAATCAGGCGGTGGTGTCTCGAAGTAGTGCAGAAGTAGAATTTAGAGCAATGGCACTTGGAATTTGCGAAGGAATTTAGCTTCAAAGAATGTTAACTGAGCTGGGGTTATGTGCCAACAAATGGTTTGAACTTCAAAGTGACAGTAAATCTGCAATAAGTATTGCAAAGAATCCAGTTCATCATGACCGAACGAAGAATGTGGAGATTGACAGACATTTCATCTCTGAAAAGATGAATGGTGGAACGGTGAAACTCAATTATGTTTTAACGAAGAATCAGTTAGCATATATTCTCACCAAAGCACTTCCAAGAATTACCTTTGATGAGATTATATCCAAGTTTGGTCTTTTCAACATTTACTCCCCAACTTGAGGGGGAGTATAGTGTTGGGTTATGGGGTCCAACAATCACCCTTAGGGATTCTATCGTGTATGGGCACGATATCAGGTGCTTGACAGCCCAACCTGTCGAGGCCCATGTGTGTCTTACGAAGCCCCTAGGCCCGCCCACAGCACGCTATAGATGTGGGGCTCTGCAATGCCGTGGTGAATTGTGGGGGGTGTCCCACAAGAATACACCTTGGCTTGGGGGAAATCAATGATCACCCGCTACAAAGATGTGAGGTTAAAATGGCTCACCTACTTCTCACTAATTGGTTTTAAGAATGAATGGTGATCATTCGCTACAGAACTATGTAGTTAAGCGTGCTTGAACCAGAATAATTCAAGGATAGGTGACTCATTGGGAAGTTGTTCGAAAATCGAATGACTCGATCCTAACAAGTGGTATCAGAGCAGGTTGCAGGTTCGAATACCCCAGGAGTCGCTGGGGGTGATTGTTGGATTATGGGGTCCATCAATCATCCTTAGGGATTCTATCGTGTATAGGCGCGATATCAAGTGCTTGACAACCCAACCTGTCGAGGCCCACGTGTGCCTTGCGAAGCCCCTAGGCCCGCCCGCAGCACGCTATAGATGCGGGGCTCTGCAATGCAGTGGTCAATTGTGGGGGAGCCCCACAAAAATCCACCTTGGCTTGGGGGAACCAGTGATCACCCGCTTTAAAGATATGAGGTTAAAATGGTCCACGTACTTATCACCAATTGGTTTTAAGATGGAATGGTAACCATTCGCTTACAAACTTTGTAGTTAAGCGTGCTGGAACCAGAGTAATTCAAGGATGGGTGACCCACTGGGAAGTTGTTCGAAAATTGAATGACTCGATCCTAACATATAGGTTATACGATAAGATAAGGATAATTAATTAGTATTTTAATATAACACTAACTCTTAGAAAGTTAGATAGATAAGGATAACTACTAAATAGTTTAGTTTAAATTAAATATTTGTTCTCACTTAGTGTATATATTTATTAAACTTGTAACCTGTTTTACATTAATATGTGTAACATCCTCAATACCGTGTTAGTGACTAAATTGTAAAGTCTTAGAATTTGGTGGTTAAAATAAAATAAATGAATAGTATAAATATTTACATGTAAATTATTGTGTATGATGGAATTGAAAGGAATAAGGAATGGAAAGACAATAGAGTAATTGCAAGGAAAAATAATTAAAGAAAGGATAAGTATATTTATATAAGGATACACGTGGGTGGAAGGGGAGAAAACACCCAAGGCTTCCAGAGTTCTCTTCTTCTTCTTTCTTCCTTGTGCGCGTGAATCAAAGCAAAGCTAAGGTGAGTGCATACTATATGTATATAGTATAATGGAATAAGACTTGTGATAAGTCTAATTCCTATATTGATTTTCATAGTACAATAGTTGTGAACATGCATACATGATAATTATTGTAATACATGCATAAGGCATATATATGTTCATGTGATTGGATAAATGATGTATATATATGAATAGATTCAAATACACATGTGATATGATATGTGATATAAGAACATGACATGAGC